TATGGCACATCGAGCCTCAGGTGAGACCTTGTGGGGGATGGAGGCTGTATCAGTGCCCCACAAGAGGTCAAAGAGCAGTGTAAGCTCTTCTGTGGACATGGGTAGAAAGCCCCATATCCAATTTATTTTGCCACAGAGTGTGCCTCAGAGAGGGTGATCTTATCGGGTAAGGTAAGAGCAGGAGCTATAGGGAGGATGACATCTTGGATAGAATGGCCCAGAAAGGTATGTGGGGCATGTAACTGAATTTTATCTGCAGCAATAGTGAGGCCCAGCACTCAGAGATTTGCTCTATGTCTTTGAAAAGCTCCTTATAGGATCTTGGGGTCCTTATGGGCAATAAGAATGTCGTCCCTATAATGTAAGATATACACCTCAGTCAGCAAAGGCCTGCACGCATGGCCCACATAATATTGGCAAATGGTAGGCTGTTTTTCATGCCTCGTGGAAGGACCTTCCATTGATAACATTGGACTGGGAGATTATGGTTGGTGGTGGGCACAGAAAAGGCAAAATAGGGCTTATCATTATCATGGAGAGGAATAGAGAAGAAACAATCCTTAATATCTATTATAATAATCACACATTCTTTAGGAATGGCAGTTGGGTGAGGCAATCCCAGTTGTAGGGTTCCCAAGGGCTCCATATGATCATTAATAGCTCTTAAGTCATGTAAAAGTCTCCATTTCCCTGACTTTTTCTGAATAATGAAAATAGGGGAGTTGTGGGGGCTAAGAGAGTGTTCTGTATGACCCAACAGCAGTTGTTCTTGGACCAAAGTAATCAAGTGGGTTAGCTTATGTGAAGGGAGAGGCCACTGCTCCACCCAGATTGGAGTTTTTGTATTCCAGGTCAATTTAATGGGCAATGGGGCAGTGGCCGTTAGAATTGGGGGTGAGGATGGGGTACATTTCCTGTGCGCTAGTTAACAATGCAGTCATCATAAAAGGCTTTGTCATTAGTGGTCAGAACAACATCCATGCTAGTAAGAATATCCCTCCTCCACAGATTATGAGGAAGTCCTGCAGCTAAAAGCGGCTTGATTGCTCTGGTGTTGCCATCTGGATCAGTCCAGACCACAGGGAGTTGGACCTGTTGGATGTTTTGTAAGCCACCAAACCCTTCTAAGGGAGGTCCTGGCTTGCAGTGCCAATGGTGCAATGCCTCTTCCTGTCTAATTATTGTGACATCAGCCCCAGTATCAATTAATCTCTTAAATTTATGTCCATCCAGGGTAAGCTGCATTCTAGGCTTACGTAGATCAATAGCCACTGTCCATTGGACATGGGGGATGGGAGTCTGTATTTCCTCTGTTTGGGGCAGGGCTGAGAGGTGCCCCGCTGGCCATTTAAAGGCCCCTTTTGTATGGGGTTACCATCCACATCCATCTTGGATCTGCACTCCCTTGCCCAATGAAAGCCTTTACAGCACCCTGGACATTTTGAAGGAGGAACTTGACTTTTCTTAGCCTCTTTAATGAGTTTGTTAGGACAGGTGTGAGACCAATGGCCTTGTCCCCCACAGGCCCAACATTTGCCCTTTTCTGTACTGGTCTGGGGCTGGTGAGCAGCCAGTGCCTCAGTGAGGGCAGTAGCATGGGCCCGAGCAGTCCCCACGTCCTGACAGGCTAAAATCCATTCAGATATATCCTTATGATGCACAGGCCCTATGGCCAGGTGACATTCAGTGGAGCAGCCTTCATATACAAGATCTTTAAGCAAGGCATCAGCAGCCTCCCATGACTGATTTTCCTGTCTACACTCTGTTGGCATCTCTCAATGAAGTCAGAGAAAGGCTTGCCTGGTTTCTGTACCAATTTGGTTAATTTAGTATCACTGCATGCTGGCATACTTCGAAAAGCATGCAGGGCGCAGAGTCAGACCTGTTCAAAATAGCGAGGAGGTCCTTGTGCTTGAGTTTGGGGAGTTTTAAAATTGCCATGCCCTACTAGGGCATCAAACACTATATTTTGAACATTGCTGCATCTTTTGCACTCTGCTTGTTGTTTACACTCATCTTGATAAGCAGCCTTCTATAAGAGGAAGTTACCTCTCTGCAAACAGGCATGCACAATATGCTGCCAATCATAGGGGTATTGGCCACATGGATGATTGTATCTAAAAGTTGACTAAACCAGGGGGAATGGATATCATCCTCAAGTGCCACCTTGTGCAATTTTTTTAAGGTGTCATGGAATATGGATTCCAGACATTTGGGTTTTGTTGGCAGGGTGTTGTCCTCTGAACCAGACAGAAAGGAGGGTGGGGGAAGGGGCTTCCAGTCTTCCTCTCCTAGAGAGGGCTAAAGAGGAGGGTCTCCCCCACAGCCAGCATGGGACGGAGGCAGATGGCTAATGCCCTGTAATAGTGGAGCAGAGGGTGGTGTGACTTCTGGCTTTTTACTAAGGGATCCCTCAGACCCTAGTCTCTCTCTTCTGAATCCTCAGTAGTAGACATTGCCTTTTTGCCAGAGCAAGGCTCTGCTAGTTTCACCTTGACCGGGAGCACTTGGGGCGAGTTGTCCATACCGTCCTGCTGTTGAATTTGTTTATCTATTTCCTTTAAAATAAAATCATCTTGTTCAGGGGAATTAGGGGTAACTCCCCACAGAGAGGCCAGAATGGCAGTTACAATGGGGCAGAACGGCCCAAATTGCGGGCATCCCTCCTTGACCTCTTTATTTCTAGCTAAGAATAACGTGTGAGCCCATTGTTCAGGATCCCAGCAGCAGGACTCCACAAACCAAGGGGCAAGAGCCAAAACTTCATCTAGCACTTTGGCTACATCCTTTTCTGTTACTTTAATTCTCCTGCTCCTGAAGAGAGAAACCAACGCTGCGGCACAGGGGCACTCACACTGCCGCACTCACCCTGCAAGACATACCCAGAGGGACTCAGGAGCCGTTTAAGGAGATGATTGGTGGAGACAGGAGCGACATGCCAAACCAAAGACCAAGTCCACGAGGGCCCCATGTTTGGGCTCCAGCTGCAGCTGTCTGCTCGGGCCACCTGCACAGTCATTGCCACTCACTGCCACCGGATCCCAGACCCCAGGGCTGGTGAGGAGGCTGTGTCAGTGGAGCTGCATTCAGACACAAGAGACCAGGTTCAGTGATGCAGATCTACTTTATTGAGGAAACAGTGAGTTTATATAGGCTTCTTAAGTCATTCAGGAGAGAGTGCAGTGATCAGGTCATACATGGGCAGACAGCTTAGGTTTCGGTTTACAGTTTTATTTTACTGATTGGGACTAGAATTCATGTAAATCATGTGATCATCCCTGTGAGGGAGGGCTGGTTGGTTCCCTGAGATTAGGGGGCCGTCTGTGTCCTAAAAAGCTGTTTATCAAAGCAAACTAACATACTCCAACATTAGAGGCCTAAGATATGACTAAGTTATAATAAAGTTTATGTATAACTTTTTACAAAACAAACTATTTTCCAAAGAGGTTGTGCATGTTATGTTCTCACCAGCAGTGCATGGGATTCCAGTTTCTCTAAGTCCTCTTAAGGGCTTGGTATTGTTTTGAGGTTGGCCTTTCTGGTAGGTGTGCACTGGCATTATGGTGGCGATAGGTAAATCCCTTTAAAATTAGATTATTATTTGAGTTGTCACATTTCTTTTTATATTTTGTATATAAGCCCTTTATCAAAGATATGACTTACAATATTGTTCTCAGTGTAAACCTTGACTTTATATTTTCTTAAATCTTTTGAAGCACAAAAGATTTAATTTTTTGTTGTTGTGTTTTGAGTCAGGGTCTCCCCATAGTCCCAGCTGGCCTGCAACTCACTATGTAGACCAGGCTGGCCTCATTCTCATGGAGATCTGCCTGCCTCTGCCTCCTGAGTGCTGGAATTAGAGGTTGTGCACCACCATGCCTGGCTAAAATTTTTATTTTTTAAGGAGGTCTATCTTATTATCTTTTTTAGTCTTGTGATCCATAGTTTTGGTAATATTTTTTAAAATCTCTCTGATTAGACCAAGTAATTACATCTTTCTTCTATGTTTATGTATAGATGTCTTATAGTTTTAGCTTTTTAAGATAATAAACATTTTTACTTGATTTTTGTGTATTGTGTGATGTGTGGGCCCAAATTCTCTTTTCCTCTATTTCTTTTACATAGTATTATAAATTGTCCCAGCACCATTTGGTGAAAGAAAGGAAACCTGTTCTTTCTACTGCTTAACTGTTTATACACTTGTTGAGAAGTATTTGGCCATTTAAATACAGGGTGTATTTCTGTATTCTCATCCCGCACCGTTTGTCCACGTGTCACTTCTTATGCTGGCACTAAGCTGACTTCATTAGTGCAGCTCTATAGACGATTTTAACATTAAGCAATGTGAACTCATCTTTTTTGATGTTTTTCAGGATAGTTTTGGCTCTTTGTAATTTTTCTCTTTTCATGTATTTTAAAATTAATTCACTGATGTCTATTAAAAAAACCTGATAAGATTTTTGTTGGAGTTTCTCTGAATTTGTACATCATTCTAGGGAGAAATAATCGACCTCTTATTAAGACGGAGTCTTCCAATTCATGAACATAGTATGTTTTTCCATTTATTTAATCTGATTTTCTTCCATCAGTACTTTATGTGTAGTTTTCAGCATATAGACACACACATACCTTGTTAAACATATGTATAATCACTTTATTCTGTGCTGTGCTATTGTAGCATGCTTTAAAAATTCCATTCATGTCATGTCTTTTATCACCATTTACAAGTTATACTCAAGCCCTATCATGTTGTATTTGAATCTGTCCAAATATTGGGTATTGTCTTATAAAAGAGGATAAGTGCCCCTAATATTTTCAGTTTCCTGGATGGAAATGGATGAGAAACTACTATTTTGCATTAGTGACTGATCAATTATTCTCTAATAAGAGCGACATGTCAGTCTTTTCACACTGTCATTAGTAATGTGATAATGTAACACATGCAGAGTTTTGTGTTAGGAGAGGGTGAGCAAGTAACATCCCTGATCCTTCCTCTGTAGGTGTTGCAGTATCCCTGGAAGTGTCAGAGAGCCCTGGCAGTATTCAGGTGGCCCGGGGTCAGACAGCCGTCCTGCCGTGTACTTTCTCCACCAGCGCTGCCCTCCTTCACCTCAATGTCATTTGGATGGTCATTCCCCTTTCTAATGCAAACCAACCTGAACAGGTACTTCTGTTCTGCCTCTAAACTGTTCATCTTTTCAGAAGAGGTAGGTAAGGAAGCATCCTGAGGATGTATTGGATTTCTAGAGTAAGGTGCGATTTTCAGTTTTCTGCCCTTCTGCAGTATAAGTAAATATTCTGAGGAGGTTATCTTCTATTGAAAAGGCTGTCATCATCATCATTGTCACCGTCATCATCATCATCAAATGCTAAGGAGATTTTTTTGAGCTTTTGTAAGGAACCTGGAGTTTTAAAAAGAAAATTGACAGGAAAAAACAAGAAAGCAAAGGCAAGATCTAGTTTTTAAGAATAAACTGGCACTAACTTAGGTGATTTAGAGTGTACTATTTAAAGATAGTGATGGTGGTAAGAAACATGAGCTAGCAGCAGTACATTTGATGAGTTAATCACTAATATCTAAAGACAAGTAGGCAAACTAGCCAACTCAGTGAATCTCATACAAATTGGAGTACTGCACACAAAACGATTTGCATGAGGATGGAAGGTGCTCAGAAAAGACTATGTCAGTTATAGGAAAGAGATTAATAATTTCTGATACCCACTGTAAAAATTGGTGAATTGTGGTAATGATCACAGTTTTATTTACAACCATGACATTTCCTTTGTGAATATGTTTTAATCTTTTTTTTTTTGTAACCACCTAGCATTTTTTTTTTTTTTTTTTTTGAGACAGGAGCTCCCTGTAGTCCCAGCTGTCCCGGAACTCACTGTGCAGTTCAGGCTGGCCTCGAACTCACAGAGAACTTCAGTGGAAACTTCTTAAATTTTTATTTTAAATTTATTCTTTGAAAATTGCATACATGGATATAATGTATCTTCAAACCATGGAATTTTTGCAATTAGGCTAAGCCTTCAAGATCATTTTCTTCAACCTCATTATTTTAAACATCAGTGGTGGAGTTAAAGTGGTAAATATCCTGATTCCCACACCTTTGCAGGAAGAGCCTGGATAGGACCCATCTGCTCATTTTCAGCCGAAAGGGCTTTTTGCTATATTACATTCTGATTCCTCTCCCAAGAATAGCTAACAGAAATTGACAAGAAAAGCAGTTGTGGACTGGTACCTCTTGCTCCCTTTTATGACATTGATCTTCAGCCCATGACTTACGATCTATCATTTTATGGCCTAGTAAGTATGAGAATGACAGGGCTAGATCTTTTAAACTTTATCTCATAATTTCTTGAACTGGTTAAAGTATTTATGTGTTGATAGTCAGGTAGCATTAAAGGTATTTTCTGTGTTCTGATGAGTTAGGTAAGGAAGAAATGATTTTCTAAGTTAGATGTGTGAGAATGTAGAGCACCAAGATGCTTATGGTCAGGATAGTCACAAAAAGCAGTTGGCAACTCTTAGAAATAAAATGTTGCAACATTTGTTGCAGGAATGTTTGGTGCTGTCTACCAGGTAGCCATTGTTGTGTGTCAAGAAGGGGCTACAGTGGCCAGTTTATTGATATTGCTTTCTTTTGCAGGTCATTCTCTTTCAGGGTGGACAGACATTTGAAGGTGCCCCCCGGTTCCATGGCAGGGTAAAATTCATTGGCACCATGCCGACCACCAATGTCTCTATCTTCATCAATAACACTCAGCTGTCAGATACAGGCACCTACCAGTGCTTAGTCAACAACCTTCCAGACAGAGGAGGCAGGAACATTGGGGTCACTGGCCTCACAGTGTTAGGTGAGTGACAGAAAAGTTCAGCCATCTTGGGTATCAGTACAAGTCTCCTCTTAAGCACTTTTACTTCTGCCCTTCCTTCTGCACTTGGTGCTGGTAGTTCCTTCCCTGCCTCCTTCTGAGTCCCAGCTCTTCACTGCTTCTCCCTGCTTCTTTCTTCCTCTTCACACTCTGTTAAAATTCCTGGAAGTCTTTAAATTTATACCTTTAATGATATTTTGTGAAGGTGAATAAAGGGGGTATAAAAAGTCATTTTTTAAGATCCTACAAAGCAGAAGCTTCTGTTGAGATAAAAATCAATCAGGGATTATTTATTTATTGTAAGCAAAAAGCAGAGGTTTCATAGTGTATGAGAATAACTTTATGATCTCCTGTGTCTGTAACAGGAACTAGGGTCAGCACAGTTCTCTGCTGGTACCTGTGGTCCTGGCGTAATTTTGGTATTGTTTCTTGTGCTCTTAAAGATATCTTTGTTTCTACAGTAAATCAGATTACCACCTTATAGACCAAATAGATTTAGGGCTAGCATTCTTTCCATTAAATCGTGTGATTAGACTATGTCATCCTAAACTATATCACATGTTTGAGCCTTCAATTCTCATGGCTCTGAATAAATAGTTGTGGTATAATTGGCTAAATTCAGTTCATGTGGGCAGAAAGACGTTCTCAGAGAAGGCCCATGCTCCTTCACCTTCCTTACCCTTTCACATTAGCCAAGCTTAAAAAGTGCTGTAAGGGAGAACAGAAAGCCTTTATTTCATAATTAACGTTACCTCTAAATAATTAGTTTAGGTTTTCCTTCATGGTACCAGGGTGATAATGTCAATTTGGATTTGCTGCTGTTCTTATTCTTCCTACCTGTGTCCCCTTTCTTTCTTTGTGGCAGTGCTGGGCATGAAATGCTGGGCCTTATACATGCCAGGCAAACTTCCTGTCAGTGAGCCACATTCCCAGCCCCAACACCTTTGGTTATTGAACTGCCCTCTCCCACTCACTCACTTTTGGATTGCTCTGTGTGTCTGTACTCATTTCACACTTCAGGCTTCATGCGTTTCTGAAGGGGTGAGAAGCCATGAGGATTAAAGACATCATCTAGAATACTTAAACTGTGGTAGCTGCCTTACCAATAGCTCTATGCCTCTGCCTTGGGCTTTGTTTATATTTTCACTTCCTTGTTTTTGTATTAGTGTAAATCACCAGTTTCTTCCTTAGGTGTTGCTTTGGTTATTTTTCTTTATTCTTGTCCTTTGTGTCCTTATCTAACTTTATGATTATAAACTGTTTATCATTATGAAATCCCCCTTCCCCAACATTATTATTAGTTTTCCTCCTACTTGGGCCTAACTCTAAGTTTCACTACTGTAAAGCCAATTTTGATATAAAGTGGGCCTGTCTGGTTTTTGTTTATGAAGTAACAGAGCACCTAGATGAAGTGATTTTTGCTGGAGGACAGTTGGCCAGGTCAGTTTCTGTTCTTGAAATGGGCTCTGAACGTGGCCTTGTAGCAGTGCCTTTAAAGGTACTGTGTTGACCCAAAGGATCTTCTTTTAGAGAGAGTCCTCAAACCAAGATTGTAAGATACCTTGAAAATGTCATCAAATTCTCCCCCCCTGTATACTGCTATTGCAGGTCCTGTACCCAATGCCATAGGATTTTTTGCCTGACAGTCCTCTGGCTTCTAACTGTGATGCTGTCTCCCATGTGATCCACAATGCTGTATGTTCTTGTCTCTTTCCTTATCGCTTGATTCGCAATAGAGGTGAACTTTGCTGCCCATTCTTCCCATTACAGTTCCCCCTTCTGCTCCACACTGCCAAATCCAAGGGTCCCAGGACATCGGCAGCGATGTCATCCTCCTGTGCAGTTCAGAGGAAGGCATTCCTCGGCCAACTTACCTTTGGGAGAAGTTAGACACTACATTCAAGCTACCTCCAACATCCACTCAGGGTACGTACAGTGCTGCTATAGCTATGTGATTAGTATTCATGGAAGGTCCTAAGATTCACAAAGTAACTGACCTTAGAGTTTGAAAAGTAACCCTCTGTGTTTGTAACCACTGAAAAGGTTGTGCTTTCGACTTTAAGGTAAATATGGCATTTCTTTCTGTTCTGCATATTCCCTTTATGAAATGCATCTACTGGCAGCTATACACGAAAATTCTGTCCCATCTGTGGAGCTTTAAAATAGCATAATGATATCTTCTTTGAGTTACCTCCAGGATAGTTCTGGACATTTCTATCCAAGAACCTGCTTCCTGCTTGAGGCACAGGTGTCCATTTTAGCATAAGTGACATCTGCATAGACACAAGAAGATTGATTCTCCTGTTTCAGCCTCAGGTCTCCTTGGAGGAGGAAGATGAAAAAGAATAGAAAAGGATCTTGTGACCTAAGGTCACACCAGTTAGGTATGATGCTGGAGGCATGGGTGTCCTTGGTGGTCTTAGACATGCAAATCCATCTGTTTGGATTTGATTGTAAAGAAAATATCTTTTAAAATTGGAGGAAATTCTATGAAATAAGATAAAGTTGTAGACGTGTGAAATCTTGTTTCAAGAAAATAAAATTTAACATTGTCCTGAATGGGACAGTTACTTGACAGTAACTGTCCTGAATGTGTCTCAAGCCACTGACCTGAGTGTGACATCTAGAGTGTGTCACTGCTTCTCAGGAGAGGTTAGGACAGGCGCAACGGACAGAAGAGATTCTCACACACGACTGTTTGATTGCAATACACACGACTATTTAATTGCAATATGCGTTTACTAGGTCAAAGCATAACAAACACACATCAATACAAATACTCAAAGGGAAACCCGGTTCTCTAGCAGTTAAGAGTCCCAAAGTCTCAGGGAGTACCTTCCAGAGGTTAAGCCTTCAGGCACTCCGTGTGGAGAGGTTCTCTCGTCCGCCGTGATCAGTGCACTCTCCCGCCTATGGAGCTGTCTCTCACAGGTTCTGATCACGTCTGGTCGTGGCAGGCGAGGGTCCGGGC